TTTTTTCCAACTGACAGATGCTAGTTCTTTAGTTTTCTGAAATCAGATTTGACTTCAGCAGGGCCTCAGGTGCACTGACTGCTGCTGCTGCTGTTTCCTGATACCATTTTTCTCCAACCTAAACCCAGGTCCCGGTCTAGATCCCGCTCCAGATCCAGAGGAAGAAGGTATTCTCGGTCACGCAGTCGGAGTCGCGGTAGGAGGTGTGCTTAAGTTTTTCTTCTATTCCCCTTCATTTCCTTAGCTTAGAAAAAGCTACGCCTGTGCAACTCTGTAATTGACTTCTTTGCAGGTCCAGGTCAGCTTCCTACCGCCGGTCCCGGTCCGTTTCTCCTCGTAGGTCTAGGTCTGTGTCTCCCCGCCGGTCCCGATCGGGTTCCTTGAAGAGATCAAGGTAATCAGAAATTTTTCAGAGGGCGTGTGCTTTGTTTCTATTGATTTTCATTTTCATTAAGGGAAGCATAAACGTACTGGATAGCAGACTTGGAAAGGTGTTGACCTCTGGAAATCAGACTTCAGCATGCTTTAAATTAGAGTTTCTGACAATCCTGGCTGAACTTAAAGGCTGGATAATACGATTAGTTCGGAGACCTGAGCCAACTGCATATTCCAGGATGAATTATGATGCCTAAATTGTCTAATGGTCACGTAGGTTTTAAATTCAGCATGTAGACATTGCGTAGTGCTGTAACCATCATCACTTCTGCTTGAGTTGACTTTGATTTTGGTTTCATTTGTCTTGGGTTTTTTTGTTTTCCAGGTCTAGATCAAGATCCAGGTCTAGATCCCGTTCTGTTACGTGGCCCCGAAGCAGGTAAGATCTCCTCCGTGGCTGTGGAAAGTTGCTTTAAAAGTCTGTTCAAGCTTTCTAGCAGCTGTTAACGTTCTCAGAAAAAGGTCGTGTTCTCTCTCCTCTAATTGAGGGGTCTCTAGTTTTAAAAAGCAGTGTAGAAGGTTGTTCTGTCTCTTTTTGGGGCTTTACATGTCGCGGATACGTAGCTGCTGGTAGTCATCACAAGTACTGTCTGATCGGGTTGTTAACATGGCAGATAAGTTTAGAATTCATTCGAAAAGCTTGTTTCTTTTCCTTTGGGTAGCACCCGCGAGGTTGTGGGTTCTGCCCGCCGTCTGTCAGGGATCGGGCTGCCCTGCTGGCAGCGCGTTAAAGCATTAATGCCTCTAGCCAGGCCGTATACGGCCAGGCAGTGGCCAGTGAAGGGCTGGACGGCGGCTGTTACAGCTCTTTCTGCTCTGCTGAGTAGCAGATGACCAGTCTGCGGGACCTGAACTGAATTTAACGCCCGTCAGAGCCACTTTCCACCAGTAAACGTGACAGTCAGATTTGACAGGAGCAGAGGAAGACGTCTGTTCTCTTCAGTTGTAGTTTAATCCTTCCCTAGTAGGTGGAGGCAGTTTGTGCTTTGTGCCACCTCCTCCGGGCAGCGTGGCTGACCAGGATTTGCTCGGTGAGCTGTCGCAGGAGAGCAGCGGTAACTTCCGCTCCGAAGGGGGTGGCGCTGCTCTTGGCCCAGTCCATCGGGAATGGGCCTGCTCTGCTGGTTTGGTGGCGGCTCTTGGAAACAAGTAACGGAATAGTCAGCCACAAAGAAACACCAAAAAAATAAAGGGAAGCTTTATCTGACGGGAGGAAGTGGAAGAGCCTGCAGCTGAAGGTGGGAGATTCAGGGCTGGAAGATTCTGGCAGTGGAACAGCAACCACTGACAGGAGTTTCCAGGGAATGGAGAGGTGAAGAGCAGAACATCTGTTCTTCAGAGCAGGAGTACGCACAGACAGTCCAGAAGCTTGTAAAACGGGAAATCCCCTGCGGCAGTAGGCAGTGCCTTTCCCTGGTCAGGTACACTTTCTCTGCCTGTTGCTGAAATATGCTGCATCGTAACGCCAGTTACTCCAGCGTGACTTAAGCACGGCTCAGTGCTGTCCGCTGCCAGCGATGAGCAGAAAGCAGCTACAAAGAGAAAAACGTCTTGATTTTACCAGCACTGTTTGCTTTTGGGTTAGTACCAGAATGGTTTTCCGCAGCATAAAGGATGCTTTTGGTGAACTTCCTAGACTGTCACGTGACGCTTTTCATTGTAAGTGGAGATGAAGTGACTGAGGCCGAGGAAGTTACAGACGTAGATGTACAGAGAAGTGGCAGAACGTGGGTGCTTAACTCTGTTAGGGTGAGGGAATTGAAAGGTGATTTCTTTACAGAAGAATCACAGGAACGCGTAGTGCCCAGAGAGAGAGACTCTACACGATGTAGTATGTGGTGTTTGCTAGTTTGACAGCATCAGAGCGTACATCTGGAAGGTGTTGCAGGCAGCCTTTCATGTGGAAGGTCGAACGTTTCCTTTGGGAACCTAAAAATTTTGGTTCTTCTTTTAGGCAGTATTAATGTTCTTCTGGTGAAGCAGTCATCTCCGAGAATGACGTTTTTGACAGTCTTTTCACAAAGGTGAAGTTCAGACAGGTTTAAACAAATATTTGGCGCGAGTGCATATATAAGATGAAGTTCCCTGAGGAGAAGATAGTTGTCAGAGGGTGCTGCCTGCAGCCAGGTTCAACTACAGTGGTGGGTGTCACTCAGGTCTGATGAAGCGTGCAGGTTTAGAGCCTGGCTTTCTGCGAGCAGTGTGAAAACACTGGTCAGGGTTTGGGGTCGTTCATGCGTTCCTGCCACCTGCATCCACAAACACCAGTCGTCAGCCAGGGACCAGGTACAGAGCAGCATGTGCAGCATCCATGTACAAAGGTTCCTTCTGAAACTCAGCAGGAGAAGCCCTGGAAACCTGCAAGGTTGTGTGTTCAACGTGACAGTTCTGCGTGTGGATCTTGCTCTCTGAAATGCGGGAACGTGCATGCTACCAGCTTTCATGCTGAGCCGTGTTTTTTGTCTTGCTGTAGGTCTAGGTCCCATGGCAGATCAAAATCTGGCTCGCCGGCTAAGAGGTAAGCGTGCAGCGATGAAGCCTGCGGTCATGTCTGGAGTTCATTAGTGGGTCTGCATGATTAACGGAGCCGGGTCCTTTAGAAGAAAATCCCCCAGCCTAGGTGCCCAGCTAATCTGCTTGCGATGGGACTAGGACTGTGAGGTGTCCTCTTCAGCTTTTTGGAGTATGTTCCTTACCCATCTCTGTTTTCATCAGCTCTTCCTAGTTTCCAGCATAGTACTGATTTCTGTGTCTCTGCTCGGTTCCGTTAAATGTTTCTGTTCCTCAGACGCAGGGCTTCAGCTGTATCAATGCTGTTGATAGCACAGCAGGGACCTGTGACGGTGCTTCTTTTCCCAGAGCCTCACCTCAGCACTGCCCCTTGTTTGCCTGTTCTCTCTACTGAAGGCAGCTGCTTCAAGTTAACCTCTGTGCTAAATGAATTGAGGATCCCTGTCAGAGCAAAGTTGATTTTAAAAGTTGGGTGTTTTAGAGAGCTTCTGCCCAGATTCCCCTAATAGTTCCGTTGCTAAGGTGCTTAGTTTTTTGACTGTGAAAGTCCATTTGACCTTTAAGCTGCATTGATGATATTCTGTTTTGACAGTCGGTCAAAGTCCCGATCACCGTCTCCAAAGAGAAGGTACGTTGATCTCCCTCCTAGTAATGTAGGCTCCGTAGAGCTGGCATTGTAGTGTCTGCAGTAACCTCTGCCGAGGAGTTTGACTGCTGCTTGTAGGAAGTACTGGAAAGGTATTGTGCCGAGCTCTTTGACAGAAACAATGCTGTGATTGTGGGTTTATATAGGGTAACGTATACGGGGTGATAATGCCTCGGACACTGGTGAGGCAGCAGTGTGGGGCGCAGCCCTTGCCTGGCACTGTTCATCGCGGTTCACTAGCAGTCTCGCTGCAGAGATGTGCTGCTGGCGCGCTGAAGCACCCCGTCAACGTGGGAACCAGCTCCCAGTCCCATCAGGAGCTACACTGGGATTGGGGAGGATGGGCTGGAGTAACCTGGATAGGGTCAGGAATGGAAGACCGAGCCTGTTACTCTTACTGCCGTTACTTAGGTTGTATTTGTCCCCAGGAATCTGGTAAATAATTACCTGGGGGTGTGTACGCATGCATACGCAGGGACAGACTCGGCGGCGGTTTTTCCCTGGCTTGAATGCTTTAATAGCTCCTTGTTACAACTTCAGCCTTCAGGATCAGCGGGGAGGGGTAGCTGTAGGCCTGCCGGGACGCCTCCCTTGCCTTGTGACCTCTCTGCTCTGCTAGGCTTTCCTTTCTTCCACGCCTGCAGAACTTCTGTGCCGAGCTCTGCTTTGTTCAGAAACGTGGCTGTACGCAGTCGCAGGGGGCTGCGACCTCTAACGCCCGAATTTAAGGGATTAGGGACGTGTCGGCAGTGAAACGAACAGTGCTTGAAGGGTGCCGGGGTAGCCTAGGTTTCCTCCTGCTGCCCTTGCCTGTGCTTGTGAATCTCCGGTGACCGCCGACGCGTTAACTGTGGGTTCTTTCCCTTTCAGTCGCTCGCCGTCAGGAAGCCCTCAAAGAAGTGCAAGTCCTGAAAGAATGGATTAAAGTTATGAAGTCAATCTTTTAGGAAGAAAGTTATTTTGCTTACATTATTATAAGGGATTTTGTGGTGTCTTTGTAAATGTAAGAATGTAGATAGAAGAGTATATCAACTAAAATTTGGCATGATCTGGGTCTTCTGAGTTAGTCACACCAATAGACTTGCACAGGTCTCTTTTTATTGTACCAATTAACTTCCTGTGATATGAAAATGTGGGACTTTTTTTATTGGCACATTGAAATAAAATGTGTATTTTTAACTAAAGCTTCTCTGTAGTGACCCTGCCGCTTCCCTTAACCTGGAGGGAGTTTTAGCCGTGTGCCGCCTAGCGTGGAGGCAGAGCATCCAAAATCGGAACTGCTCGGCATCTTCTCCAACGAGCCACTTGACACTTGCCGCTGAATGGCCTTTGGCGAAGGGCTCAGGTTCTGCTTCCTTGGAAATGGAATGTAAAATCCATCTCTGCCCGCAGGTGGCTGGAAATTTGCCTAGGCCCTTTTTATTCCCCTAGGATGCTTCGCCAGCTCTTTCTCCCTGATCCCATCATTCTGCAAAGCTTATCTCTGGTGCCTGACGAGCTGTGATACCAGACGCCCCGGAGTTTAAGGATGCGCTTTCACTGAAAACACAACTTTTGAACGCAAGAGAAGTCATCAGTAACTTGATTGCCACTTGTCGCATTTTTTAGTTCTTTAGGCTAGTAATAGAAAACCACCTTAAAATGTGTCAGGGCATACCTGCTTCCTTCGGGGGAAGGCAGAAGGTCGTCTGACCTGCTTCTTGAGGGACCTTCCGAAAGTCTGTGAGAGGCAAGCTGGCGCGACTGCTGGTCTCCCGCAGCTCGCTCAAACTGCCCTCCTGAACAATTCCTGCCGCTGACCCCAGGAACTCCAACCCCCTTCACAGAAATGGGTGCGGCTGTGAAGCAGCCTGGGCGTGATTCACTCGCATTAAGCTGATTTTGCATCGCAAATCCACACTTGCAGGATTGTTTGTGTACAGGTGTGTCGGACTGTTTGTCCCCGTTCCGTAGTCAAGAGCAGCATGGTAAGACACTGTAACCCCAACCGCAGTGGGAACCAGCGCGGGACTGGCAGGCAGAGGGGAAACAGGCCACGTCTGCTGTGAGGGGTTGCCCAGCAGCCGTCGAGGGGGCTTTGGCAGTGAACAAGCGCTGTGAATGCAAGCTGAAGCCTATCTGGGCCTCTTGGGGAATGTGTCCCAGCAGCTTGCTTCCCATGTGTAAGCCACAGGGCATCTGAAATGGGAAAAACACAAACTTCGCTCACTCCCTGGGTAACCCATGACCTCCAAAAAGCAGGTTTCCAGCTAACAAAGACTCCATGGAGTGGTGTCGGTGTGCAAGCAGTGCGGACTTGCGGACTGGGCACCCGTGGAGCGGTGTCAGTGTGCGAGCAGTGTGGACTGGGCACCCATGGAGTGGTGTCAGTGTGTGAGCAGTGCGGACTGGGCACCTGTGGAGCGGTGTCGGTGTGTGAGCAGTGCAGTGCAGACTCTGGGCACGCCACCATGCTGCAGCACTGTCCTGCCTAGGCCGAACTGCTGTGAGACTTGGTACCTCCCCGAGCGCTCGCGTGGGGGTTAGCATTCCATCCCCTGGGTGCAGTGAGCTGTGGTATCCTGGTGCTATCCCTTATATTCCACCGTGGCCGTGAGGGGAGAGCCGGGGGTGGCACACACGTTGCCCTGCAGTGACGTAACAGAATGCCCAGAGCCTGAGACTTACGTTGGGAATATTTACTGGATGTGCGTCGCCTGCCTGGCTTACAGCGTACCTGGGGAGAGGCACATACACCACGGCTTTGGAATGTGATCCGCTCTTTTCTCTTCCATCCTCTTAAGGCGGGCTTATTCCACAATAACCCTGCAGAGTAACACGACAGCTGTGCTGGTTCCTGTGTGTCGGTACCCGCAGACGCTGCGGAAGGAGCAGAGGAGCCAGCGTTTCTGTAGGGACCAGGGTTCCTCTGAACGCGGGCTCGGCAGGGAAAGCCGGGGCGAGCAGGCAGGACGGTGCCGGCGGGAGGGCAACCTTTGGAGGCGCAAAGGGGAAGCGGCGGCAAATCCGGTGACAAAGCTGAGTGGGCTGTGGTGCCTGCCACAGCTCCAGCCCTCATCCTTGGAGCTGCGCAGCTCCAGCTCTCGCCTGGGTTTGGTGGGATTTCACCATGAATTCCATGCAGTGTGCGTGACTCTTGGAAAAGGTGCCCGGAGTGGGGGGCGTGTCTGTGTGACCGCCGCTGCGA